GGGTTTAGGGGGTTTGGATGGTTTAGGGCTCGGACCTTATAAGGTTTCGGGTCTAGGGTCTAGGGTTTAGGGAATTTGGGTGGTTTAGGGTTTAGGCCTTATGTTATAAGGTTTCATTATGAGTGCCCTGGTTGGGGTTATCCTATTCATAGACGTACATCTTAGTTACTTAGTACCCAGATACAGTGAAAGTTCAGGAAAGCTGTGCGAAAGTGGAAAGCACGCTGGACTCATCCTAGGCTTAGGGCTTACAGAGCCTGCGCGAAGTTAGATCCACAGGTTTAGGGTTTAGGGTTTAGGGTTTAGGGTTTAGGGTTTAGGGTTTAGGGTTTAGGGTTTAGGGTTTAGGGTTTAGGGTTTAGGGTTTAGGGTTAGGTTGATGCCCATGTGAGGCTGAAGAAATGGGCATCCGCGGCGGCGGACGAGCAACGTCTCGAGCCGAGAAAAGACGACGCTGGCTCCCGAGAAATGGGTAGTTCTCTAAATTAGGGTCCCTTTTTGGGTCCCCAACATAGTACGGCACCCTTATAATATGGACCCAATAAGTGACCCTAGTTTAGAAAACTACCCAGATACCGATTGCGATTTTGAGCACGCGACCCTCAGGCCGCCTCTTCGCCGTATGTGGCCTCACACTGTCGGTTCAGGGTCCAGGGCCTGCGGTCCTGCAGCAAACCATGCCCTTCGAGGCTGGTGGGCGCCAAGGGTCGCCATGGAAGTATGTTTCCGAGAGTGAAGATACTGCGGAAAAATTCCAAGTCTTCAGGCATGTGCCAGACCTTAACGACGACTACGTCAAGGATGTGGTGGGTGGGAGCATTGCGGGGTCAAAGATCACCCTCACGGTGGATGCCACCACAGGGCAGATCCAAAGCACGGTCGTGTGGACTGAGGCCCCACACGACGTGCACATCCACTTGGCCTGCAGTGCCCACGTGCCCAGTGGTCGGCTGGGCATCGGAAGAGGCAGTCGCGGCGGTGGGACCACCCGAAGCCTAAGCCGAGGAACCAGTATCAGGAGTCTGGAGATTTTGATATCCAGGAGAAACATGAGATCTAAGACTGTCGCAGGGTCCAGTCAATGCTGCCGTTGGCATTCAAGGGATTCGCTTGGTTTTAGGGTCAGACTGCCAGCGGATTCATTCAAATCATTCCCACCCTTGCCTTTGCGAATAACGCCCACTCACGCACTTGCGCTCACAGCCGTGTCTGCCCAGTGGGTTCCTTGGAACACGGCTCACAGCCCGCCCGTCTGATCAGCAGATTCCTTCCCACCTTTGCCTTTGCGAAATCTGCACCACACACCGCTTGTATGCACCCACTTGTACTAGCATCTTGTACCGACAATCGTGTCTGCCCAGTGGGTTCCTTGGTCGCCAGCACTTGCCGAACTAGCCCCAGTACTCCCAAAGCCCCTCCTGTCGTGATGAACCTTGCCTTTGCGAAATTTGGCCGCTCGCCACGCACGCACTTCACAGCCGCGGTTCAGGGTCCACGCGCGCCCCGACAAGACTGTTGCGTGGCGTCTGATCTGTTTGAGGCAGTCGCGTTCCGGACTCATCCTGGTTTTTCACGCCTCGCCCGCGCACGCACGGAGCTTTCGGCGAGACCTCAGCGTCGCAGAGTTGGGTGTAAATGGGTAGTTCTCTAAAATGGGGTCCCTCTTTAGGTCCCCAGTATAGTACGCCTAAAAGGGCCCTAAACCCTAAACCCTAAACCCTAACCCCAATCTAGAGAACTACCCAAATGTGCTCCCCCCCCGGCCTCGTCCAGCAGGTCCTACTCGCAGGCCCAGCCCTGGGGGGCCGGGGGGGGGGGTTTAGGGTTTAGGGTTTAGGGTTTAGGGTTTAGGGTTTAGGGGTTTAGGGTTTAGGGTTTAGGGTTTAGGGGTTTAGGGGTTTGGGGTTTAGGGGGGGAGTCCAGTCGCCACCAGTGGCATTCTGGATCCGGCTTCCCAGAGACTCCAAAACCCCCTTAAGTAAGGAATATACCTGAAATCATATTAGGGATCCTATTCTGATTTCAGGGATATAAGGTCTCCAAACTGTAAGCCCGCCGAGAGCAAGCCAAGCTCGCCACATCTCCGAGGAATGTCCGGAAGGCCTGGCCTTGAGAGCCACGAAGAAGCATCAGCAGGCCAGGGGTTGGCACTGTTTAGGGTGTAGGGTTTAGGG